GCCAACCAGAGCTGGCGGTCGCATCCCTCGCTTGCAGCAGCACAGTTTGCGCGTGTTGAGGACGGCTCGCGGCATCCAGCACCAACGCCCTTGCGAAACTTGAGATAAAATCAACTCCCCGGCTTCCTTTAAAAGAAAGCTAGAAAATTGTTAAAACTGTTTGGTGCTTAAATGCTTCAACAAACATGCCGGCCCAGTTTTTGAACATCCGCATGGTTTCCCTTTAGCTCACTTCCTGAGTGGTTAGGCCGAACAACACTCCAAACCATATATTTACCACCAGCATCATCTTCCCAAAAAGTTTCAAGTCCAGGAACTCAGGAGGTGAGTGAGGCTTCCCTTTGGAGGGGCCTATGGCTTTGCTCCAGCCCACGCCCCCGCCTGGCCGCTCGCTTCAAGCCGAGGCTGGCGCACGCCAAAGCCTCCCCCATGGCCAAGCTGGCGCTCAAAGTGCCACCAGTGAAAGTGCCAGTGGTCCCTGCGGTGGTGCCTGCAGGGGGCTACGGCTACTGCTTTGTGAAAATGGCTTCAGCCACCAAACTCTTGGGACATCCTTTGGGATTCTCAAGGGGCGGAAGCTCGGTTCAAACTTTGCGCAACCTCCAGTGGCGCCAGCAGCGGTGACTGCAGTGGCTCCAGCCGTGGCGCTGGTGGTGGCACTCGCAGCGCCAGCGGTGGCACTCGCAGCGCCGGCGGTGGCACCCGCAGCGCCGGCGGTGGCACCTGCAGCACCTGCGCTCAAGGTCCAAATGGCTGCGCCAGCAGCGCCCGTGGCGACAGTTGCAAGGCCCAGCCGGATGAAGCGGCCATGAGAGGTCTGCAGTGAGCGGGCCGTCTCGTCGGATAAAAATCGGCGCACGCCCGAGGCCAAGCCCAGCCTTATGCCAAGAACACCAAAAAGGGATCGGAGCGATTGGAGGTGACATGGTTGCCTCTGAGGGACTTGCACCAACGAGCCAGCAGCTCGCTGTTCTTGACCAAAAGGTCATATTCCACCTGGCAAGGTGAGAGTGGGGCTAATATGATCCAACTTCCTGGCCTCACTTGCCATTCCATCTCCTATGTCCACCACGCTGAGGGCTCGAAGGACTGTCAAAGGCCTAGACTCTTTGGACACATCTCAGCTCCACTTGAGAACTCGCATGTGGCAAAAGAGCCTTGGGTCCTCCGGATGGGTGGAGCACGTGCCAGAACGATTGATGAGATAGTCAGAGTGCCTGGGCTGAGCGAAATGACTTCTCCACGTCCAAAGCTTCGAGGGCGGTACGAGACTCCATAGCGGCACCTGTAGACATCGCGCCCTTGTGCAAAAGAAGTCAAGCAACACCTGAGCAATCCGAAGCATTTCAAATGCACTCAATGGGACGATGTAAGGTGGGTCGGTTGCCAAAGGCTTCCCAACCTACTTGGACTGGGGACTTCTTCAACAGTCATTCCACAAGACCTCCTAGTATTGGTGGACATTCCTGCAGCGTACATCTCCGTAGCCAAAGGCGCAATTCGATTCGTCCGGGTTCATCTCCAGGCGGCTTGAAGCGGACAATGCTGCAACAAGCAAGCTGGTCATGCAAACAATCCTAGGATTGTCTTCAACCCGCAAAAAAGAAAGACACCACTTTTTACAAGCTGAGAAAACAGCCGTTTCCAAAGGCCAATAGACGAATCATTGCAATCAAATCAAAGGGCAAGCGTGGCAAGCAAGAGTCTTCAGGGCAAGGTTGCGTCTGCACCACGATGCCATGGTGGTTGTATGTCCAGCCGATCTTCCAAGCCTGAGTGCCAAGGCGGGACAACTTTCAGCGCCGATGCGAGGGGGACGCGGTCGTTTGTGTTTGCCCGCATTGCCAGGAAGCTTTGGACTCATTTGGCTTGTTACCCTCCCGACGTGAAACTTCACGGGGGGCTGCTTTTTCCTGCATTTTCTGCCACAAGTTTTGGGTAGTTTCTCTGGCCTCATTATTTTACCATGGTCAAAGTCACCCTCTCAGTGGTGGGTTAAAGGGAAACAACCCCAGTTTCTGACTTTGATACCCCCCCAGAAACCGTCAAAATAATGACTATCTGACTGCCGGAACTTGTCAGACGGACCCGCGCTGATTGCGGGCTGTGGCGCGTAGACGTGGTCGCCCGGCCGCAGCTCGGCCTTGCAGAGGCCCCGCAGCCCAGAGGCGGGCAGCGGGAGCTCCCAGGCGGTGGTGGCCGTGGCCAAGACGTCCAGTGGCGACCATGGCGGCATGCAAAAGCTCGGTGCTGGGTGGGTTCCCAGTCAGGTCCTCTCATAAGATGTTTGGGGTGCAACAAATCAGGTGCTTGGTGCTGGGTGCTGGGTGCTTGGTGCAGCTGAGGCAGGTCCTCTTTTTTTTTGGATGTTTGGGGTTGAAGCTGGCAACACCTGTGCGAAAAGAAGCGGCATTGGATGTTCATGCTTGGTCATGCAGCTGTGCTGAAGCCAAATTCCTGCATCTTCAGCACCTTGGAGTCAAACGAGGTAAGCAAAACTGGATCAGCAACCCGCCAACGAGGACTTCCTTCTTATCCCTGCGTGTGTGGCTGAAAGCAAGGGGAGACGCTTGGTGGAAAAATGTGTCTTGGGTGACCCGTTGAATCGGTTCTCACAAATGACACTCCCGTGTCAAAAGGTGCAAGCGATCGGCACGCTGGACAAATAGGGTGGGCCCCCCCACATGGATTTTGGTCAGCCTTTCAGCTTCCCCCTTAGAGCAGGGTAAAAAGGTTCCAGGGTACCTCAAAAACACCTGGAAACACCGGAGGCTTCCACTGCGCGTCCTCGGGTCGCAGTTGCTCGCGGGTCGATTCAGAGGCTCGCTTCGCGGCAGAAGCGAAGGCCTCGGTTGGTTTTGGGACCAGTTTGCAGGTCGGGCATGGCTGAAACAGCCAATGGCTTCAACGCCCCAAGTCACCAATCCAAAACCCACAGCGCCACCCACACGGCGCCTGCAAAGGGCCTGCCAATTCGGAAGCGCACGAGCGCCATTCCATGCGGAGCTTGTGCCCGCTACATGGCAGGCATCTTTCTCCCGAACCGGTTGCTGCACTGGACTTGCCGCAGGTCAGCACCGATGGGTTGCAATGCCGAATGTCGGAACGCAAGTTTGCATTGCACTCGCCGACCCTGAGTGAAGACCAATGACAACTTGTCAGTTTGAGCTCTTGGGCTGTCCCAGACGTGCGATGTGAACTGGCAAGGCGTTGGCTGAGACAGGATTCCTGACTGAATGGCTGAAGCTCGGCAGCCGATTGCCATGAACATGCCAACTTCAAAGTCATGCCTCAACACAAGGCATGTCAGATTCACAAAGTAAAGCCATTGTCAAGTAACTTTTGCAGTTGTTTGCTTTCCAAAGCTTAGCAAATGCAAGACCAGAACTCTGGAATAGTGTTCTCCGCGCATGCTTACAAGGCCTCCAGCTCCAAACGGGGACAAATTGATCCTACACCAGGCTATGCTGCATGAACTTGCCTTGCTAGTATTAGCAGAGGATTCTTGACAAACAACACTCATGCAAAAACATCGGTCATCCCTATGAAATGCAGCCCGCCAAGAGCCATATTTTTTGATGCTCTCCCCACGCTTTTTCTCGTTCCCCACTTCGTCTTTTGCGGTTGCTATTTCCTCAGCGGCTGGTATACTTCTGAAGGGCCGAGTGAATTTTGGAGGGTGCTGCCACAGAACCGCAAAGAGTCTGCTGGGGCAAAGCTGGCGATTCCCGTCATTGCCCTGCTGGGCATGGTGCATCGCAAAGCAGTGACAGCTGTCTGAGCATAAATAAATACACTCACTCTAGTCAGGACTGATGATGAGTAGTCAGGTTAGAATGGCAACCAGTTTAATTGGACACGATGGAACATCACAACCGCAGTCGTATCTGCTAACGCATCCTCCCACCGCTGCTCGTGCCTCATTATTTTACTCGCATTGCTTCGCAAAGTCATCTTGGTCTCTGTTCAGTTGAAACCAGTGTATGACCTAAAGCAAGTAGCAACGAACGAGGCCCTGAAAGCGACGAAGCAACATGCAACGCTTGTGGACAGTGCCGCAAGAGGGGGGGGGAGCCCACAAGCTTTCCTGAGAAAATGCCGACACTTGCCCAAAACGGGCCCGATGTGCCATGTCTCTAGACGCGCCCTTATGTATTTGCTTTGGGGTGGAATCCAATTTATCCGAGCGTCAGGTTGCTGTACACTTCAATGGCGATGGTGATTTCGTGGTCTGCGCTTGGCTTGCCTTGGGCTGAGGTATTCCGAAATTTGCGTCTTGCGAGGGAGTCGCCCAGAGCAGCCAAGCAGCGGAAATCGCAGCCTGAGGTGAAAGCAGATGATCCAACTGCAAACAGGTTGTGTCTCCAGACAGCTTTGAGGCCATGTCCTGGAAACAGCGCGAAACCTACTAGGTCTTTTCTACATCGCTGCTTTCTTCACCAATTTGAAGTTCACATGTTCATGGGGTGCCGTGCCAACCCCCCCCCCCAACTAACCTGCAGGCCTTGATATCACGCCTCGAGGGAAGGGCAGGGAATGGGCGCATCCTTCGGTTCCAAGGCGCTGAACTTTTGACCCAGCATCACCTTCGTGCCACTCCGGCGGCCCTCCAGGAACAACTCAAACTTCAACTTGGCTTTCTCCTGGCAAGCGGCAAGCGGTCGGGCCTTCGACCATTCAGAAGGATGCGCATGGGCAAGCGGACAGTCTTTGGTCAGTGCTTAGAGAAGGGGTTGCCCCTGGAAGTGCTTTCGCCCCATTTTCCTCCCCAGCTGCAAGCCCTTCATTGCCCCCCTTGCTCTCAACTCATTCCAAGATGCCCTCAAATGCCTGGCCTCACACAGCACACCAACCGCGCAGCCGTCCAAAGTGAGGGCCGTGCCGTTCGGAAAGAAGGCGAGTCTCAGGACCACTCCTGACGTGCGACTTATGCCTCTGGAGTTGTGGCGACGCCACTTGCCCCCTGCGGCCTGCCACGGCGAATTTCGGGCTCTCGATGCCTGGCGCGCAACATTTGGACATTGCGGCTTCCCAAGGGTGAGGCAGTCGCACATTATTTTTTGGCGCGTGCGAGGGCATGAGCACATGCGGGATGGCCAATGGCGAGAGTACTTGAAGGAGCCTTCAGCAATGTGCACACGTGAAGATGTCGGCACGTGCCCTGCCCCCTGGCAGAACATGGGCTGTAGCCGTAGCGCGGACTCAAGGCGAACGCTCGCGGGGTGCAACTTCGAGATCTGCTCCGTTGCCCTGTCGAAGCCGGAGATCACCTGAAATGGCCTGGGCTGTCCAAGATGGAGTGTAGACCAACGCGAACCCTTAGTCCCAGAGGGCAACTACAAAAGGGACCACATCCAGCCAAGGATCTTAAGGATAGTCGAGCAGCAAATCTGGTCCACACATCTGGTGAGCACATAGTCATCCGAGACAAACCCAGTCATCAGGCCAGTCATGTGAGAAAGGCCAAGGACTTGCCTTGCATGGACTCCAGGAGCAGTATCATCGCCTCTGGGTTGGGCCCCTCATTATTGTTTGAGCTACTCCTGAAACAACGCGTTCTGTTTGGTTTCCTGTTTGACAGCACCAAGACCACCCCCTGCGTCTTTCAGCCACTATTGTTTACAAAACTCTCGGTTTCCCCATGCTGGTTCTCGTATCTTTCTCAGAGATACAAGAGTGGTGATGTATATTGCTCATTCCCCCATTTGTTGAGAATCGGACAGCTTCCGGCCCCCCCAAACCCCCCTAAACCTGGCGGACCCCGACCCCGCCTGGTGTTGTTGGCCCGCGGCACAGGCTGCGATGGTCGCCTCATAGGTCAGCACGCCGCTCTCCAGCTGAAAGTCCCCGAGGCGTCGGTACATCCGCAGCGCCTCCGACCAGTAGGCACCTGGAGGCGCCAAAAATTTGGGACTGAAACATCAACAGCGCCACCCTTTCGGGCATCCCTTCCCCCGATTTGACAAGTCTTGGGCGGCGCTCTTCTTAGTTGATTTTGCTTTGGAAAGTGCAACTTGAGTGAGTAGACATGAATGCGCCATTAGGATCGTCACATTCCATGGGTTGAAACCTGAAAACCCGTTCCCCGAGTACAATCACACAAAAAAGCGCAAAAGCAAGCAGGAGAAAGGCGCAAACTGCCACCAACACCTTACCCAAAAAACCAGCAGGGACCTAGGACTAAAACAACGGGAACCCAAAAACAACAGGGACACTCCAGTCGTTTTCATTTTTTCTTCTCGCCTGAGGCAAGTGCGCCCAGCAGGGCGTTGCAGGTGATTTCGCTGGGCTGCAGCCTGCGGCTTAAGGCCTCAGAGAAGATCTGCAGAGCCGCCCGGGGCCGCTGCCCGTAGCCTGAGCAATTGGTCGACGGGTTGGTTGTAGGTTCGAAGGCGTAAGAAACTGAAAATCAACCAGTCAGTTTGTCTTACGGGCGAACATCTGCAAACTACTCGTTTGCATCTTATAGTGTTTCTATTTTTCCCCAGATAGCTGAATGCTGTAGGGGTTCTAACTTCTAATAAAGAGGAGAAAGTGATTTGCGAGATTGATGGGCTGGTGCTAGGGTGTGTGTGGTTTGGGGGTGCCCTTGTAGGTGCTGATTGGGGTGCTGTTTGAGGTGCTGATGGCAGTGCGGGCGCATCTTTTCAAGATTGACGGTAGGGTGCTAGGGGGCATGCAGTTTGGGGTGCTTGCGCAGGTGCTGTTTTGGGGGGTGACAGTGCGCGCGACGGGGTGCCACTGCTGATGGTGCTGTGGGACGCAGTTTGAGGGGAGCTGTTTGAGGTGCTGGCGACGGAGCGGGCGCATTTTTGCGATATTGATGCTTGGGTGCTATCGGGCATGCAGGTGACGGTGCAGGCGCATGTTTGCATCTTGACAGTAGGGTGCAAGGGCGCATGCAGCTTAGGTGGTGGTTTGGGATTCTGCTTGGGGTGCTGGTGGATTTTCGCAAGAGTGACGGCTGGGTGTCTTGGGGGTGCTGTTTGGGGTGCTCTTCAGGGTGATGGTGCCGGCGCATTTCTGCTCGATTGACGGCCGGGTTTTGCTTGGGGCATTCGTCGGGGGGGTGCTTTTGGAGGTGCTGGTGTGCAAGCACTGCTATCTGGGGTCCATGCTGGTGTAATTATTTTGTGTTGCAAGTTGGCCTGGAAACCGAACTTTCGGTTCCATTCTTGTGAATGTTGCAGGGAATCGTTCATCCCTAAACCAGGCAGAACCTGCTAAAATGGCCAACAGTGGGTTTGAGGTGGATTTGGGGATGCAATCCCCTCTCCCGCCGGGAATGGCTGGGGTTGTGCAGTAGCCTTTCATCAACCTCCCTTGAAATCTTTTGGCATTCAAGTTCAGCCCGGTGGACCCATGACCAAAAGTACCCCCAGACCCAGGTCCCGAAAAGGGCACTGAGCAGCTGGGTAGCTGGTGATGGCCGCATTGCAGCTCACAATGTCCGGCTCCAGGCGGAGCGTGTTCATTTCACCAAGAATCTGCGTGGCCTGCGGAGTTTGCACGTTGCTTTGGAACACGTCCCAAAATGTTCCAAGGGCAGCCGCACGAAAACCAACAGTTGGAGCAGCCCTGGAGGGCAGCCACATCACGTAGGCCATGGCAGTCACACTACATGACTTCCATCTAAATGGAAAGCAAACGACTTTGCAATTGATCCGAGTGGCTGTTATCCAGCATTGCCCGCGCGCGCAAGCACTCATCGCTGAATTCAGCGTCATCATATCCGCCGGGACATCTAGTGCGCGCAGCAGATGAAGATTGAGCCTGTGTTGGCTTTCGAGCTAACGCTTTCAACACTTCTCCGTGGGCCGTTTGCCAAAAAGTTGACTCAAGTGCTCCTGAATTTTCAGGCCAACCTTTTGATGCAACTAACATAGCTCGAACTTCTATCATGGATGAAGCCAAAAAGTTAAAAGGTATTATAGGAGAGCCTCCCACAACTGCATGGCGAGGGAAGGAAGTGCTTTTGGCTGTCAAACACCATCACTGGGGGCCATCTGGGAGTGGCTTTCAGGGTCCATTCACTTCGGGGTTGCTGGAAATTCAAAAACGCAATGCGGGGAAACCAACTGGCGGCAACTGCGTCAAGCTTGGCCCGAATCTGGACAAATATGTGGTCAGAGTTTCTGGTCTATACCATGCATTGTCGAAACCATGTACCGTTTGTTTTGGAGGAGACCCTGAAAACAGGACATCAGTCAACAGGTCATCCGAAGCGGCTGCCACTTCACCACCTTCTCGCAGGCCGTGGCCGTGGCGGTGCAGGTAATCACGTCGATGCGCAGAGACCTGTGGCGTAGAAGGCCCATGAGCTGCAGCGTCTCCTGCCAGCTGTCCTGCGTCGTTTTTTCGCCTGAAAATCGGGATGAACCAAAAGGTTGGCTTCCTTTTGGTGTCCCTCCAAGTGCGTATTTTTTTTTTGAACATAGGCGAGCATGCGGCCCCAGGAAAGCACGAGGATATTTTCAGCAGGCATAGATCCAGCAAATGGAAGAATAGGGATGCCTGAAGGTTGGCTTCCTTCATGTCCCTCCAAATCGGCGTGTCCTGTTTTGGGTTGGTACCCCGGTGTTGGTCGTTTTGAAGGGAAACCAAAAGGAAAGCCAGCCACCACTTTGGCACCCAAATACTTCCTAAGATGATTGCCAAACTTAGGGGCCTCTTTTGGTCCAAAGAGAAAGGCGCATCTCGATTTGAGAAATGTGGCTTCGCTTTTCCCTTTACATCAACGCCCAAACGGCCTCAAAACAAGCGCACCCACATGACTGTACGGGAGACAATGCCGACACTGAGGTGGATATGGCTTGCGCCAAAATGAATCGAACCATTTCCTTGGGGACCTCCGTGCTTCTCTCAATCTGTCCTCACCTAATGAGTGGATTCAAAAAGGTTCAAACGTTCTGTGTGTGTGTGTGTGTTTTTCCTCTCGGTTGGGAATAACACCCCCCCAAAAACCAAACCGGGCGGGTTCTACTTGGATCTGTTCGCATTTCGTCCCACGCATTCCTCGAAGGCCGCCGCCGCCGAGTTGTAGGTGGCCACCGTGCGAGCAAAGGCGCGGGAGTGGTCCAGCAAAGCCACGCTGAGCTGCCAATGGCCCTGCGAGGCAAAGGCTACGCATCAAGTCCTTGGTCCTCCAGTAGTTTGAGGTTAAAATAAGGGTACCAACTTTTATTCTTCTGTAGTCTGTTTTAGTAGGGGAACCCTCCCCCAAGAAAGGGTAAAAGGGCACTACTGGGGGACCTAGATGTGGTTTCCCTGGTGAATTTGGTCGGGAGACATTTGAAGCTTTTCAATTTGGGGTGAACCGAGAACGGCTCACTTCCCGAGCGGGCTGACAATAGTAGCGTGAAACCGCTTGCAACAGCTTGGCAAACCGCTTGACAGCGTGAACCTGCCTGCAACGGGTTGGCGGCTCGAAGCCGCCCACAACAGCTTGGCGGCAGCTCCAAAGGAGTTTCACAGCTTGAAGCCGCTTGCGGTTGCTTGACAGCTCGAAACTGCTCAGCAGAATTCAGATCTATTTCCGGTTACAATGCCCGTGTCGGTGTGCCCGTTTTGTTCGGGATCCCTTTCGCCCACGAGAAAAAACATCTGGAGCCATCGGCCCCTTCTGAGACAACAAAAATCCGCGACCTTTTCGCCGATGGGATCCACTTTCAACTGGGCTGCCTTGGCGCAAGCAAAGATCGCCGCATTCTGCGGGAGCAGATCCTCCTCGGCAGTGGGGTACTTGCGCTTGGGGAGCTTTCAACATTCAACCGCCTGCCTTGTTGGAGCGAGTGGAACAAGCCTGGAGTTGAGGGTTGGTTTGATCGGCCTTGCTTGGACTGCCGATCCCCGAAATGAAATGGCACCAACTAAATGCTGTAGGGCCGATGGCCCAATAGGCCAAGAGGCGCTAAGTAGTCCGAAGAAAGTTGCCTTCTGAGGCATGAGCCTCCAAATGTTTTTTTTCACCAAGCCAGGATTGCTTAAGCAGAGCCCCTTG